CAAACTGGGGGAAGAACTGAAAGGCATTCAGTTCAATCAAATGAAAATAATGTGATCTACTTCATCATGTCCCACCTCCACATCCCCCCAAGAAAACTTTACAGTGCTATCACACCATGAGAAGCACAAAGTCCAGCTTTTATGTGCATTTACATTACTTTCCCAACAATTTTCACCCTTTTGCTTAAAGTTTTTAAAAGTATAGCTTTCTCCAACTTTGCATATTCTGCATTATGTGTGAAGTGCCTTCCAGTTGCTTCTGACTTATGGTGACCCCATGAATTAACAACCTCCATAACATCCTATAGCTATCTGCCTTGCAGAATGTGTGATCTTTCCAATATGGAATATAATTTCTTGCGGTTGGCTTGCCGGTTAATGACAAAGCACAGTGTGACCAGACCTGCTGATGCCGAATGCACTCAGTATGCATGGCTTTGCTAATGGAGAATGTGAGATAAATGGCTTATGTAATCTAGTGAGAATGCAATTTTCTTATAATAACTAAAATTCAGCATATGGCTCACAAATGAAAAGCATAAGAATGTATGAAGCCTAAATTAACATGAACACTGAGAAAAATGGCTACTAAATCCCTTTGAGGGAAACTGTAAATTAGCATGAACAACTGCCAGCAGGGCACTGTGGCTAAATCTGAATTCATATTGCAGTATGGGAATGAGGTTTCCCCGGATTAACAGGGAATGGAAACATAAGCATCCTTAATTCATCCTGGTTTCTGTGCTGAAACACTGGGTCTGTTCAAGGGTCAGTAACTTTCCATCCTGTCCCTTCAAGGAACTCAGGATTGCCCTCCCTCGACGTCCTCCCATCTTCCAAGTGAAATGTGACTGGCCCAAGGTTGTGTCTTCAAGTGGTTATTGCAGGGTGGGATTTGAACCCATGTTTCCCCAGTTCTTGTTCAGCTTCACCACACTGCTGTAGGGATATCTGTGTGCATGTGTGTGAAATAGACATGCACACACAGGTATATTATTCCCTCTAACACTTTAGTTCTCTTCTCCCTCCTTTCTGTCTCTTCCAGTCCGGCCCTCATTCTCACTGAATGGAAAGGGGAATCCCATACTGGGAGATGCTGCCATAACTCAAATGCAGGATCCTGCCTAGCCTGGAAGATCCCTTACATGACAGTAATGAGATGAAACTTCAGATATAATTCTTTAATCTTTAAATCTGATAGTCTGATATAATTGTAGGAAGGAGGAAAGGATTCAATGCCAGTAGAACAGGATGAGGCAGTTTTTATTCAATTTAGGAATGATGAGTAGATGTGAAATAGTATGGGATAGAATGGAAGTCAATACATCTCCATCCCCCCCCCTTTTGGTATTTTTCATATGTACCTCTGTATGTGTGTGTGGGTGTGAGTGTGTATGAGTGCACCTGGAAGTCATGGCGACCTCTGGTGAATGACCCCTATTGGGGGCCTGGAGGATATCCAGAGAGCTGGCTAGATAAAGCCTGCCTCCGCCTTCCAATTGCTGGTATTCCAAGGAGGTTTCCCATCCAAGTACTTGCCAGAGTTGACCCTGCCTAGCTTCCGAGATCTGAAGAGATTGGCTTATCGGAGGGAAGGGAAAGGAGACTGTAAGGTGCTCTGAGACTCCTTCGGGTAGTGAAGGGCAGGGTATAAGTCCAGTATCTTCTTCTCTCTTGCCTGGCCTTGTTAAACAGCTGTAGTCTACTTCCAGCAACAAAGTGCTTTGCTTTCATATACACTGCCACTTCCACTGGTATTAAATCACAGGCTATTCCTTAATAATGTCCCATGGGGAGAGGAAAGCAGTGGTTGTCCCATCCTCCTTTGCACTGAGGAAGGGGAAAAGAAAGATTCTGTGGTTGGGGAAGAGCATTCTACTGGTCAGAAGCAGCAGCTAAGTCTGTCATCCCCCCCTTTCCCAGTTTTCCCCTAAAGGATGCTGAGAACTTCTGCTGGACCTTCTAGTGATAATGTAACAGCTAACTTAACTACAGCTGGAGAGGTATGAACCTGCAGCAGCCTTTCCAGAGGCAGAAAAGCAGCAGTGAGCAGCTAGAGTGAACACATAACTCTCTGCTATGGGGGAGAAAACTGGGAATAGGCAGCTCTTTGCTTCTGATAGCTATGCCTTCAAGATCAATTATTATTGATTTTTAAAAATTCTACTACACATAAATCCATTGTGCTAAATCAGTTCTGAACTTTTTTTGCCAAATAAAAGAAACACCACCAGAGTTCATTCAAACTCAAAGTACAAGCCATGCCATTAATTTGCCACAATATAAAAAAATCTCTTAAAATTGTCTGTAAGTCATAGTGCCCCCCCCCCCCAAAAAAAAACACACAACAGAGCCAATCTCCTAGGGCTGCCACCTCTGAATTGGGAAATTCCTGGAGATTTTGGGAGTGGAGCCTTGGGAGGGTGGGATTTGGGGAAGGGAGGGACCTCCATGGAGTCTAATGCCACAGAGTCCACCTTACAAAGCAACCATTTTCTGGAGACTGGCAACCTTGTATCTGTCACTATGGCATGAGGGATTACATCTTACATATTGACAGAGGTTCATTTCTAAACATACTTCAAGACGCTGCAGTTCTATGATATAGGAAGTTGAGACACTAACAAAACATGTCAAATGTAATTGGGGGGTGGCATTTAGTTTCCACGGCTCAAAAACTTGGTAATGCTACTTTCCTAGAGTTCCTTTGATTTCCAGAAATTTACTGCTGTAGGTGCATTAAAGCTGTTGGGTGAAGACAGTATCATTATGGAAAGGGGAAAATCACAACAGTTGCTTGAACCCTCAGAAATTTACATTCTGCAAGAGGAACTAAATCATCTGTTGATTCCATTTGAGCATAAAGTCATTTGCTTTCTACCAAAGAGGTTTTTGCCCATTGGTCCATCTGCTATAAAACAAAGGAATTAGTGCAGCTAAGAAGGGGTGCATCAGGGCTGAAAGCAGAACAGCTTTTCAGATGGTGGAAAACAGGCAGAGCAAACAGACATCAGCAAAAAATTAGGATTTAATACTAATGTAAAAATTAGGATTTAATACTAATGTAAAAATTAGGATTTAATACTAATGTAAAAATTAGGATTTAATACTAATGTAAACATTAGTATTAGTAAAAAAATAACATCCTGGACTTCCTATTATAAAGCCAATGTAAGAGAGACACAAACAAATTACAGGACTGCCTAGACAATCATGCCACCAGTTCTGATCATAGGGTTGCCAGACAATGCCTGGCAACCAGTGGGAGGATTTTTTTGGGGGGGGGGGGCAGAGTCGTGCAATTTTTTTTAAAAAATGCAGCCTTGTCGGAAGTTCTTATTGCAAATAACAAAGTGGTAGCTCTAGGACTCATGTTGTTTCTGGTGATTCTTAGAGCTACCTCTTTGTGACTTGTGATAAGAACTTCTAGAAAGTACATGAGGCTGCATTTAAATATATATATATATATATATATATCCTGCCACCATTCCAAGTGCCCCCCTTCCATATGGGGCTTAGCAGCCCTGTCTGATCAACAGGTCAGATCAGAGGCTTTCATAAATGTGAATGATCTGAGTTAAGGTCTAAATATGTAAAAAGTTTATTGTGATTCCTTTTCCTTAAACATATTTAAGCATCAATACTCAAATAATTAAGGACTGCCCACAAGCCATGATGTGAAACGTTGGCTTGATATGATCTGTGAACTGTGATTTATATTAAAGATTGTTAATCACTAGTTCTTCAACAAGCAAATCGTAGTTGTTAAGGGCAATTCTCCCACACTCT